CGCCCCCTGCTGCCCCCCGGATACCGCTCAGCCCCCCTTGATCCCTGTGGATGACCGCCCTTTTTGGACGCTGGCACGTAGACTCACTGAAGCGTTTATTTAGAGAAGGTGCCAAACCCTGGAAAACAAAAATGTCAATGGACAAGGAAAACTAAACACCGGGCTGATTATTGGTATCGATAGACCAAGCCATAGACAAAAAACACAAAAGGGATATGAAGGGATTCTGTTGGTAGAAGAAGGTGGCCGGTAGAGATTGGACTATAACTAACGGCAACCCATGAGATACCCTATAGTTAGTCTACCATTCTACCCTGAGTCTACATGAACCACCGATTTCAACAAATAGGATTACTCCATACTCCCTATCTCTTCTTTGTCTATTGCTTTGTGTATCAAAATCAACAATCAGCCCGCAAGAGGCGGTACAGTTACCACAACGAAAATACAATTAACTACCTGAACTTTTTCGAAATGGGTATGTGTTTTGCTTTAACATGCATTTACTTTATCTATCATTGTTTTTTAAATTTTGCAAACCCAATGAAAGTTTGACAGACTTATTTGGCTCTCATTTAGTTATTTCTGGTGTTTTCAATTGCTAGATCAGACTTTCCACACTTGAGCAAACATTTTCATTCAACTCCATGTTTTCTTCCTATTCGCTAAATTTCATTGATGCTGTCTGAATTCAGGTTGAACCTCATCGACCCTGATCAAAATTTCATATCACTCTGTTAAGCTAACAAATAACTATAATCCTTGCCTCACACATCATTCCGAGTTGACATGAAACGTACAGTAATTTTTAAAACATTTCACCGTCTAGGGAAAAGGTGAGCATATACAAGCTGTTGAATAACAATTGTTTCAATAACAATAACATGACCGGATGTTGCGTCTTGTGATTGTTCATTAGTACCTACGCAGGAGGATTATTGTCGTGTCTTCGCCGCTTATTGATTGGTTTATCAGTTGTGGAATTATTAAAAGGATTTTTAGAACCAACTTAAACAATTCTGATCGAGAGGAATTAATATTATCGAGGGTCAAAATGGAATGACACCCTCAGAAGAAATGCATTATCGGCAAAAATAGCCATCAAACTTTACTCAGACCTTATTTCAGGATATTCAATCACCTCATTTACGAGAAAGTGCCAAATCTGAAAAGTTAAAATCCGATTTTTTTAGTAAACAATTATGGCAAACTTCTGGTAACTTTTATGCCGACGAAGTCTCTGAATGATAAGAATTTTGTAAAAGACCAAGTTGAAATCAAAACACCATGTTTGATGACAGAGAATTGAGCGTTTAAAAATTTCCGAGTTTGTATGTTTTCGTTCTCACCGACTTTCAGATACTGATTTTTCATAGTCTGCCCTGAAAATTTTATATTTTTTGACCTGAATAACGCTTGAATATCTATATAACTTGTTGGTACAAGGTATACTGAACCGAAAAAAGAAAACCGCAAAATC